AACGATGTGCCCTGTGGGCTCAGTGGGAGGATACGCTGCCAACAGTGAGCTCTAAGTAGCCCATGTGATGCATCATAACGGTCACTGTTTTAAAGGCAGTTGGCACGATAAATCCCCCAGACGACTAGGATCAATAGCTCCAGGGCAGGGCATTTAGAATCCGCGACCCTGGGCAGGCGCTGCATAGCGGTTTCCCGGAGATAAGGTGCCCTTATAAGGGCCCTATCAAGCAACTTTACGTCCCAAAACGCCGCCACGCCCGCCCGCCCACAAATGGACGACCGTTCCTGACGCTCGTATTCATTCATTTGCTAAGCAAATTATGAAGCGAAGGGATTGGTATGAAGCGGCCGTGATGCTGCATGCATACATGGGTACACATATGCAGCCGTATCTTCGGTAGCGGTGATTGGTAAGATGCCTACGGGAAACTCGTCCGAAATCGATTTACAAGTCACTGAGAACGGAGGCTTTTTCTTCGCAGGATTTGACCGTTTCACTCCGTTCTTTCGCCATTTCCCCACTATACAGCGCCCTACTAGCATTTTAGGCTAAGTAGGAAACCATCGTGCCAACTGCCTTTAAGTTGCACTCCTCGTTGAAGGAAGGCGCGGTTTTTAAGGCTGGAATCAGCAGCAATGACAGTGGTTCAATGTCTGTACGTGATCAGCGACACAAAGCTGTTTACAAGTTTTCTATCTGCAATTCCTTTGAAAATGCTTATATTTATTTGATACATTTTTTCCTTTCTAACTCGGCCACAAAATGAGCGCATGGCGAAGCCAGGCTGGCCCGGCGAAGCCGGGCCGGCACACAAGAACGAGTAACGCCTGACGTCAGCCGGGCGATCCGACTGGTAGTCTGCTAATCCCTTCCTTTAGGCACCTCACTTCAAAGAAATTAGAGTTGAAGCAACAGGACCACCGCCAGTGGGTGGAGAGTAGCCTTCATCAAAAATGCTTGGCTCTCTCAATATAGTTTCGCACATCAAAATTGGTGCATCGTCTGCACCTGAACACCGTACTATCTTGTGCAAGGAAAGCATTTGCACATCCAATGATCGCGGGATGTGAATTGACGCTATCGGAAACTGTCACTGCTTCGGACGATTCTTTCCTCAATGCTTCTCACGAAACACCACCTCTCCTGAGTTATAACTCCTTACTTTCGACGAGTACAGTAAGGTCCTCTCAAAAGCTTCGTCGCCTTTGCAGTCTACAAAGGTATCACAGTGCTTTCACCTTGATATGTTGGAAGGGCTCTGCCCAGAACTTTCTATGCAGCTACCTCCCTCCCCCCTCGCAGCTATTTTGCTGGAAATGTTTTAGTGATGACACACAGGAGGTCGCCCAAGGATTGCGAAAAATAGGTGGAGCTGATCGATGCAGTTTGACTAAGTAGATTAAACTGGTACTCTCTACCTTGGCGTTCTATACTCGTTCCCACCGCAAAAACTAGCTCACGGGCTTAGTGGTCAGCTTTCACACCGGTTCTTCTACCGTGAAAGGCTCTACGATGTTTTTGTATATCCGCGCTGCGAGGACGCATTTTTGCAGAAATGTCATTTCATCCTACCCGTGGTGATGACCTGAGCCTCAATTTAGATTCCGAAACTCACTTGGTCGGTCATTGTTGCTGAAAACAGCAAAGTCTGGCGATTAGGTGCACAAAGTCGAATAAGCTCATTCATTTGGTCTTTGAACGCTTCTTCAAGCATGCGATCGGCCTCATCCAAAACAAGAACCTGAAAGTGTGGTGATTTCACTAGGTGAACGTGCTCTGGGTAGAGACGACAGTTTACAATTGGTCATGTAAAGCAGTTTGGTAAGCACTCTCGGAACGTGCTCCAATGGATCCTGGGTTCAGTGCGAAGAAGAAATAGGCTCAAATGGCCTACAACTTATATTCGTGACCGCCGAAAGCGGGCTATCGTCGGACATTAACATATCTGTATTCACTTAGAATGCACGCTGCCGCTCTAAATTTGTTACCGAGACTTTTCTGCGCATATGGAGTAGAACAGTGGGATATTCTTGAGACATAAGGCGAACGGAAAGGGTGGTTTCTGAAGTCTAAAAGGTTTGATATGGACTCGGGAGATGTCCAAGCTATTATAGGCCAAAACGGCCCATTGTAGCTGAGAGGATCGAAGAAATTAGCGCACTGGTAGAGGCAGCATTAGAGTGACAGGCTCGAGGCTCCTGCTTTCGGGTGACCTGGCAATGGTGGACGGCTTCACCTTGCTATGACGGTGGGGGCTATGGTGGAGAGTTGCCTATTATTAGGAACATTACAGGAATATTTCACCTACAATCTTCCATCTGAATGCCCTAGCGAATCAGCAAAGCGTCTGCTTTTTGGCTCTCCTTCTGCCTGTGCAGAGATAGCACAAAGGAGCTACACTAAGTGCTTCAATTAACCTCATGCACAGCCAATGAGGGGCATGTTGACTGCTTGAAGTCAGCCCGGCGCACTCTGCCTACATCCTCAGTGGGAATAGGCCTTGAAAATATCAAGGCCGAAAGAGGACCATGAGAAAGGATTAATCGTCTAAAACAAAATCAACTAGGATGAGAACTAACAAGCTCTAGCTCGCCACCACCAGAAAAATTGGTATTATATTATGGGTATCATATTATGGGAAGTAAAATTGGTATTATATTATGGGAAGTAAGAAATAATAATTACCTCAATATTATTCAGAGAAAAGGATGGTGAATTGTGCAAATGATCAATGAGTCGTCCTGGAGTAGCGACGACCACATCCGGCCCAGAACGAAGTGCGGCTTCTTGCGTTTTCAAATCAAGACCACCTGCAATTTACTATAGTAAATTATGACATCTTCATCATATACAGAAAAAGAAAGGTAAAATAGGGAGAAAAATTGGAGGAAAATGAGAGCATTGGTCTTTCCTATGGATATCTGTGCAGTATCGCTAATGCATTTTGCTCTGCTCTGTACGGGTGTGTGTATGGAAGATCGGAGCAAACTTATAAGAGGTCGCAGACGGAAGGACAGGGCAAGGGCGCGGCAAAGTAACGCGTTTGGCTAAGGTTTAACGTAAGGCTGGCCGTGCGGAAGGGCGGAATGGAAACGACACCCAGGTATCACTACGCTCCAGCCCATTCCCGGGCACTTTTGACAGGAGAACGTGACAGGATACTGTTACTGCGGAAACATTCATCCCACTCACGACAAGGAGCAGGACTGCGGAGGCACATGTACAGTTTGTTTCTATGAACGGCCTGCAGATCATATGTTGAAGATAATCAGCATCCTAACGGTGGAAGCGACACCGCAAGAAAGTTATGTTGATGGATCTAATATGATACCAGCGAGTGGAAGCTTTTCCAGAGGTCCACTTTTCGTATACCGCTCAAAATGAGTAGCAAAATAGAGCTTTATTTTACGGCAAGTCCTTTGGAATATTTCGTAACCAGCTGACCACCTTGCGCCCTCATATTCTTTTTTCGATGTACATAGACTACCGCGTAATTCGCCTTTAATCTCGCTAAGCTCAGGAGTTGCTGTTCTTATCACACATCGCCATTCTCTCCTGTCCCTACTCCACTTTCAATCACCAGCGCGGTGGGTGACCGCCTTGGATCCGAACCAGAATGACCCGCTCAATTCGCACAGCGTGATCTTTGCCTTCTCAATGACGACCTTTCGCTCTTTTTTTCGAAGCTCCACCAAGCGACCTATCGAGTTGATCCAACTTCGCTGCTTTCCGCCAAATCGTAGCCAGACGTTGAACCCTGGCATGGGTAATCAAACTTCCCAACCATGTCACCCCGTGAGCGTTGCCAGTTCATAGTCGAAATTTACAAAATTTCATAGTGGTCCAACAGACTAGTGCAACAAAAACTAAAATTGAAGATTACGAGTAGCTAAACCCAAACTAAGTCCGTGAAGTGCTAAGACAGCGGCTGGCAGTTTCCGGTTTATTTGTCTAGGACTTGAATTCGACTATCACATATATAGTCAACACAAAGCAAGCTAGACCCAAACATTAGCATTAGCTAATACAAACCAAATCTAGAAGCTGAAACTGGATTAATGATCCATTACTCCCCCGATAGGCTTAGATTACTTCGACATTTGACGTTTGCTTCACTCCACACACTTCTTTTACGAGAAACAGGAGGACAATTTAGTGAAATACCTTCATTAGAAAGCTCCAACTAACTGGCGTCAAGTGGACCCTTTTCGAGTGAGTCGTTCGACTTTCACTTTAAGCCGTAGGGCACTTGAATGGATATTTGGCCTTCACGACGACTTGAAAGGAACAGTCTTTGCGAAAGTTGGCTTTTCTCCTTTTTTTGGAATACATTACCCTGATGTCAATCGAGCACTATCAGGTTGGCTTAAAGAGACAGCTCCCGCGATAAAAGTTTCAAGAATAATTGCTGATCAATTATGAAACAGTAGCTGATAAGTTATTCCTCAGTGAAGGAAAAAAGAAACAAGAGCTCTCAAGAATACACAAACAAAATCGACCTGACAGTCACACCTCCCTGCGGTCTCTGTGCAAGCCCTGGCTCACAAATCACTTTGTCACATCTCCCAGTAGTGGATATCATCGAATGCGAAGAAAAGAAAACAAAAAACAACAGAAACATAGAGGAAAAACTCTTGAAAAGAAAAGGAAACATTTAAAAAGCCAGGCGTCCGAACTGTTAGGGTTACGTAGCGGGGCTAGCGAGCATGTTTTAGTTGTATGGAAGTGCGGGCGAGTCTTTTGCACCACAAGAAATTGGCATCATTCAGTGACTTTACGCGTCTACTCACGAGCAGGATTGCTATTGACTGTACGTTTGATCCCAATGGATAAAGTGCTGATGAAGGAGAGCAAATTATTCAACGGCACTGAGCGCTGCGATGCGGTCAGCAAAAAATACATGCAGTTCCGATTAATGACTGCCGTCCCAACAAGGAACAACTGAGCGGCTCTCCGTCAGAGGGCAGCTAGCTAGTGAGGCGGTCCAACTGAGCAGGCGTTAGAACTAGAACTTTGAGCGGTTCTAGCTCGCTTCTCGCTCGCTGAGGAGTCGCGAGAGTGAGATAGTATCTAGCTTGGGGGCTGAACTACCTGCCCAAGGAACGACCATGTACTACTTGAGCGCGGGGGCTGTCTTGTGCATTCAAGATGGAATGTCTGGTCGTCTTACAACAGGGTTTAATCCGACCCTAACTCCATCATATGGATGTAGTTCAGCTCAATCGAGTTGCTGCAAGAGCGACGAAAGAGATTATGCAAGTAGGATCACAAGCGCGGAACTCGCTTCAGGACCCAGTTGATTCAACGTGGCAACGCTGCATTGTATCGGGTTAATTAGCCAGGAAAAGCTCTACTAGTTGGCGCGCGACCCAGACTGAAAACCCGCGAGGGTTGGTAAATGTGCTTTCACCGTTCCTAACGAAGGTGAAAAGATGAAAGAGAAGCAGCAGTATATGAGTAGCAGTAGTATCAGTATCAGTGTCATCTATCATCTTGTTAGGAAAGTTATTGAAATTTGGAGTCCTCAATATCCACTCGAAAAATTAGCAAAAATCAGAATCCTGTAAAATACCAACTCACATAAAGTGGGAACCACTTGGAAGCATGCTCTCTGCCCACATGAGACAATTCATATGATTCCATCAGATTCAATATTAGGATTTCTCAAGTCAATAAACCTTTTTGTCTTCTTACATGAAAATTGAGATGATTGTGAAAAAAAGATGTTCTGCTGAGAAAAATTGGTCTGTAAGGCAGGGCACATCGTTGTTGGGGAATCCCCAACAGGGAGGGGGAGGGAGGGGGGGGGTCGTATTTGGCCGCCAGGAGAGGGGGGTCGTATTTGGGCTGAGGAAAATTTATTTTGATAGTTGATTTTTCTCGCTTCACGGACGTTGTAAAGGGGGGGGTCGTACTTGCTACTGTCGAGAGGTGGGGGGGGGGCGCATTCAGTTTTTGGCCCTCTAGGAGATAGGAGTGCCGACGCTCGACAGCAAAATTTTTGGGCAAAAGTAGCGAAGTTTCCGGGAAACTTTAGAAAAAGTGGCAGCTAGTTGGGGGAAGTTGGGGAAGGGAAAATCTAAGAATTGGTAGAAGGGTGGGGTTCGCATTGTCTCGCGGCTTTCCTGTTTCACATGCTATTTACCCCCTCTCCCCTCCCCGCTCAACTCGACGGCTCGATT